CTAATGGACAGCTAACTGCTGTTCCTTTGCTATCACTTTCTTCAGACAGAACACTTCTTTCCTGCCAGGTAGTTCATTCTGTTGCATGCTTTAATTCAGGTTGAGTTTGGGTAATCACATCAAGGGAGAAATAAATCAGTGCTGACAATCTAAATAAAGCTTTGAGCTTGAAGGGTAATAATCTAGCTGCTCTTTCTAAATCTAGATCCATGGATGTTACAGGAAAGAAAATTCTGCTTGATGGATGTGTCAGAGGGAAATGCCAAATACATTCAGCCAACAAAGAAACCCACTCGCAGTAAGAAGCCCCATGCTACTCCCAGAGTTAATTACTTAGTGAAATCCAGGACGAAAGATCTCCATTTAGCCAAGATTCACTTTTCTCTGGTAAAAGTTTAAGTAGAAGATAAAAATGTAGCCATTTGCTAACATAAAAGTAAATTTATAATAAATGAATATTAATTCATTTTAAGTTTATAAGGGTTTAGTTTAATGGCCTATATACTATAGTCAGTTATTTTTTAGAGATGGACTTCTTGTCCATATTCTGGGCCATATGATCTCATTTTTTTACCTTTAAAGCATTTATTACTTTTTTTAGAGACTTTGGAATCAGAAGATAGGTTGACCAGAAGGGAAATCAAATTCAGATCAGTCAATTGTAACACTAGTAGTTCTTTTAGGTTTTGAGGGGAAAGACAATGAACTAATGTATAAAGTTAAGAATGATAATGGCTAATGAAAAAATATTTTAAAATATTTACTCTTTGCCAAATGTTAAGAATTCAAATTTCCCTCATACTCAGTTACTCCTGCAAGGACACAGAGAAATGACCACAGGGGATGGCATATCAAGTGCCATCTGATGGCTAAAGTTAAAAATGCTACAAGAACTCAGTTTCTTTAATCCATGTTTTCCCTCTTCTCTACGCATATATTTCCAACATCACAACTATTACTTAAAAGCCAAAATATGATAAAATTGTAAAATGGAAACATACAGAAACAAAAATGAACATTATTTAATAGTCCTTTGAAATGAATTCGGCCTTTTCTTTAAGGATCTAACAGTAAATTTCCTATTACAAGGATGAAAAAAAACGTAAACATAGCCTAACTGTTAGCTAGATCAGCTGGACCATGCCCTACACTAATTTTGAACTCTGAGTGGTGCTGAGGCCCCAGATTCTCTCTCCTTTACTCCAACTCCAGGCTCATCTTCCACCAATTTCTTCTTGCTTCTGCATTTCATTCTCCTGTCAAAACAGACTTATAATTCCTAAAGATGATAAAGTTGTGGGGTTTTTTCCTCCATGTTTTTGCACACGCAGCTTCCTCACTCAGAATAACCCACCTATTATCTGTCTTCCTAGAGAACATCTATTCAGTGCCTGGCACAAAGTTGGCATCTAATACATGAGTTTTTAAACCAAGTCTTTAAAACATAGTTCAAGCATTAACTCTGTGATGATCTTGACTTGCCCACCACATAGACCCAACCTTGCCCTCTTTTACTACCTCTTTCCAAACCACCATAACTACTCATTAGCACCAACTGTACTCGACGTTTTGTTGATTTTTTTGTTCATCTTTGTATTCCTTTCACTTAGCTCAGTGTTGGGTCTTTGGTGGATATTCAGTGAAGAAATGAAGAAATGAATGAATGAATGAATTTGTTGCCTGTTTATGTAATCATATATACACTATACACACAGTGTGTGTATCTATTTGTGTGTGTGTGTATATACATACATATACATATATATAAAAATTATATACATACATATATATATATATAATTTGTTTTCACTACTTAGCAGATATTGGGTCTTGGAAAACTAAATCACTATAGTTCATTTTCTCTCTTTCTCCATCTGTTAATAAAGGGTAATTTTACTTCCTTATAAGGGAAATAGAATTATCTAAATCCCTTAAATCCTTATCTTTTGAGAATTTAATAAGGAAATGCATATAAGAGTTTTGTACAGTCCCTGGCCCATCTATTATCTATCTACAGACACAGATACATATATACACACACACACATACATATGTATGTATATATACATGTATATATAGATACACATATATACATGCATGTGTGTATATTATTAGTTCTTAGTGTGTATAATATATATTGTTAGTCATTATTATAACATGTTCTTAGCAGAATATGTTACAATTGATAGCATGAATAATTTTTAAGACAAGGCAAACATAAAAGTGAACAATTCCCTTAGAAGAACATTTATAACCCAAGCGAGTCCCTTAGACTATCTTCATGGGCAATTGCTTTTTCCACTCCAACTAATGAGCTGTTTATTTTGTATGATATTTCGTTTACTGCCACAAGCAAATTTTGCTATTTAATAATGTTGAATTCCTCCTTGCTATATCTCTAGTATTTATTCCTTAAAATAGATTCTGACATTTTCAAATTCTTACAGATATCAGGGACAAAATTTACTCAAAGAAGGTAAGTTGGGAAGCTGACATAAATGTTGAATATGTAAAACTAGCATTTTTTAATCAAAATATTTTACTGTCTACATTTATGGTAAATGTAGCATTCAACTACCATTAGCAGCCAGCATATTTAAAATGATCCTTCTGAGAACAGATTCCTACCATATCTTACTAGCTTTGCTTTAACTAAGAATCTGATTTAACCTCACTTGCCTTGCCAATTTGATTATTGCAAATATAAGCATCTATAGCAAAAGATGCATAGGATTTTTATTCATATCTCTTTAAAAACTCCACCAATTCATAGATAAGGCCTTTGCCACTTGTCTGAAAAAAAAGTAACTTCTTAACTTAGGGAATTTTATTACACAATGCAGTCCGAGAATCTTTAAACACAAAACAAGTATTGATGCTAAGCACATAAATATTGGGTCACTATTTTGATTCACAGATTTGGCACATCCTATCCAAATGTAAGTTGTATTATACACAGATATTCTATTTCCCACAAAACACCTGATAATGAAAATACAAGCAAATTCTAGGAAAACCTATTTACTAACACACACACAAATCATCTAAGAGATCAGTTTGCACTATAATTAACTTTTTTCTCCAGATAGTACAAATTAGTTTGTACTAACAGAAAAATATTTTAACATACAGATATTACATTTTGTATAGAATTTTAGTTTTTCTGACAAAATACCTTTTTGTTTCATTTTTTATTTTTAAAATAAAGGCCGCATTTATTTATATAAATTGGACTGTATTGTAATATTACTATCTAAAACCTGAATTTCAAAAAAAATCTCCACATGCAAGCATTTAAAATTTTTAATTCAACTTATATTCTATTCACTTTTCCAGTCATTTTTACCAACGGGTCTTTTTGAATAACCAATGAGTAGTTTTTTCCAACAGAAACAATTTCACTAATTCTTTTTCATTACACATTCACAACAGCCAGTAATCCCAACAAAAGCCCAGAACTATTACATAAAGTGACACATTTGGCAATAACTTCAACAGTTTCCACAACATTAATCATAGGGATTTCAGAAAAACATGGTACTCGTGTACCAACTTCATGCCAAGAAGAGGAGGAAAACCACAGAGGCCTCTAAAATGTTAAGGCATTGTCTGTCTTCTGAGTAAATTTTGTATTTGTTGATTAGACAAGGTGTGTTTCACAGGTAGCTAGTGTGGGCTGCCTCAGAGATACACTGGTAATGTCAAGGGAAAAAAAAAATTATGCAAACTCAATATTTATAGGAACCGGTAGATAGATATAACAAAATTGAAAGCTAACAGCACCTATTAGTCTTAAATTAGCCTGTTATTTCCCAAAGATTAAATTACTTCATGGTAGTCGGTAATAATCTTAAAGATGAGGAACCGCTGATGTTGTTTTGTTAGCAAAAGTATCAGCCTGAAAGACATTAGAGTCAGAATAGCATACAATCCCGAGTACCATTCTAGCATAACTTTAAATGAAAGAATAAATTAGTTGGTTTATATATCTGGGCAAAGAGAACATTCTGTCTTTAAAGTGTCTGATAATTGCACTGTAGCTAAGTGCAAGCTGCACAAACCACATATAGGTTTTAACTTTACAAAGAATGGTTTTTGCCCAGGGGCACTAAGTGTTCCAACTAAGAACCGATGTGGAGGTGACTTAACAGAGAATGACATCCACGGTAAACTGTGTATATTGTAAATAGAGTTTGGACTATACCCCTACCCACCCATAGGCTTTTCTTAATTAAAAGGCTCAGTAGTTTAATTATGCAAAAAAGTAACTCCTGTATTACATGTAAAAGGAGATTTTAAAATATTTATTTAAAACAAGACTAAATAAACAGACACACATCATGCCTTTCTGTTTAAATACTACTAGTGCAGATTCTTAAAATATAATACATAAAAATATAATAGTTATATTACTTTCTCTCTCAAAAGTTGAACTTTGTTTTAGTTTTTTCTTAATTTTCACCAAAGTTAGTCCAATAATGGTAGCGAGACTCCAAAGATATCTAGGTACAAGATCTGAAAACATAAAAACAAAACCAGGCCAAAACCTATACCTATCAATGACCAAATAATAAAACCAAAACAATTTTCTCAATTAAAAATTCCAACTTTGCCAAAAATGCTTTAATTAAGCACTGTTACTGTTCTGCAAAAGCTAAAAAAAAAAAAACCTTCTACATGAACTCTTTTCACAGAACAGTGTGCTGTTAATTTGTATTCTAAAATGCTCAAAAACACTCCACTACATGTCAAAAATACCCACTCAAGAAACATTCTAACAATAAAGAGAAACAGTAAACATGTTTTGTGTTAGAAAGTTTGACAATTATAACAAAGTGTATTATCCAATCATCCATAGATTGCAAAAAAATCAAATGCTTACACCGTTAAATCTCATGAGAAATAGCAGTGCTCACTTCTTCACTCAAAACCCTTAATCCACGGCAGCATATGTGACATCATCTGAACCGTGAATGTACAAAATGCAGGAAATCACCTACCTTCATACAGGGCTTTAAAACCTTGGGCACTCACAGCAAAGTCTGTCGTGAACCACAGAGTGAGGATAGATCCTGTGCTCACTATGGAGGAGGGCAGCTGAAATCCTGATAATCTAAATTTAAAAAGAAAGACATGAATATAATCAAAAAAGCATGCATTTGTTAATAAAGCTTATTTGATAAAAGTAATGGGTCAATTCTTTGAACTGTTATCAATTTATTTGAGGTAGGTCACTAACCAATGAGACAATTCATACACATGCTTGGTTAGGTAATTGAAATTAATGGCTTTCAAGTGTCAGAGTTTAGTCAAAAAATATTTGAGAGCAATCATTCTTAAAGGAGTTATAAAACACACCATTGTCTTAAACAGAACATGTGGACAATAACAAAACGATGCAAAGTCATCTGTATACATGATATGTAAAAGAATATGATTTTGGATGTCCTTTTGACTTTGTCCTTTTCCTCCTCAATTAGTAGATAGTAGGTTATCATACATCTAGGATAATGTGTTACTTTTTAATATCTACCCCAGCAACTTTGCAGTAAGTCTTGTTAAGAAAACATATACTAGTCATATTATAATAAATGAAAATCAATTTATATCTTGAGCAGAGGTCACATAAATTTATTTTAATGTATATTCTTCAGAACAGTCTTTTGGATACTAAGATTTTTTTTTTTTTTTCACCTATCTCTATGCTTAGATAAGGAGCTCCTGTTGCACAGTTAAGCCCTCAGCTTCTAGCCAAAGGTCAGCGGTTCCACAGGAGAAAGACCTGGCGATCTGCTTCCATAAAGATTATATCCAAGAAAACCCTATGAAGCAGTTCTACTCAGTGACATGGGGTCAGTATGAGTCAGGCTCAACTCAATGGCACCTAACAACAATGATTATGTTTGAAAACATTTAGAAGTATCAGTGTTAATGAACACAGAACTCCGGATGAGAGAACCAGTACAGTACACTTTCTCCTCGCTTATCAACTGTCTTGTTGTTAGACATTTCCCATCTACGACGATAGTAAAAAATCTACTATCCAACTACTATGCGCATCAATGTGACCAGAGGGACATATAGAGCCCTCCTACATTTTCTGCCTCTAGGGGTTATTGGGAAGCCACTTTCCCACTGACAGTATGTACCTGTATAACTCCGAAACTGAAGAAATGGACATTTTCACATGATGCCAATTTCACACAATGACCTGGTCTTTAGAGCCTAGCCATGTCAATAAGTGAGGGCAGCGTGTAATATGCATTGTTGTTTTTAATTGCCTTGGAGTAGATTCCGACTCATGGTGACCTCATGCATGTAGAGTAGACGTGTGCTCCATAGGGTTTTCAAGGCTGTTACCTTTCAGAAGCAGATTGCCAAGCCTGTGTTTTGAGAAATCTCTGGGTGAGTTTAAACCACCAACCTTTTGGCTAGTAGATGAGTGCTTAACTGTTTGTGCCACCCAGGGACTCCTAGTAATATGCAAAATAATACTTACAAATTACTTTTAAAACTAACAGTTTTCCAAAGGGTCAAAGAGATGTTTTACCAATGTATATTTTAACTAAATTTTTCTAATTAAATAAATTTGTCTACAGATAAGTCATTTAGTGCAATCTGAAGACAAAGATAGGTTTCAAAAGGAATCCACCTGTATGCTAATTCCTGATAAAAGAAATTCTGGTTTGCAGTTAAGTCAATGGTACTAAATACCTCATTACGGTAGCTGTAGGTTACAGAATCAATGCTCTGAACCTAATTAACATGATTTATTATGCTAAAATATAATGAAACAATAGATTAATAAGAAAAGACAGAACCAATAAGCTAAAAAAACAAAAAGATAAAAATTGTATTTAAATAACAACAGTTCTACATACGGTATTAATATCTACTGCACATTTTTTTTTCAGTTTAAGCATATTCTGTCAATTAGTCTAAGCTTTTTATTTCAGTTTTAGTTGTAAAAATTCCCTCTACTTTGGTTTTGGAAAGTCATAACCTCCTGTCAGACTATAATTGGATATAAATTATTTTAAAACTCATTTACATTATTAAAATATAAATAAAAGGAAAATTATGTATTATGTTACATAGCATATATATTATCTGTGCTTTACGTATAATTATATTTTTTTAAATGTGTGAGCTCAAGAATGAAAACATAACAAAACCATCTAGTTGGTTAATTATATTTCATCCTGAAGCAGTCTGTGTGTTTCAGCTAGAACTACTACAGACGGCAGTATCCTGGGAAAAGTGAGTCACCCATCACGTGAAAGGCACAGTGCAATAAGGTGTAAGCTGTCTGGAATTGGGAATTAAAGCTAAGACTGCTCTATGTTCTCACCATGATAGTTCTTCTAAAACAAAAATCCTGGGAACACCCACACTGTGGTAATTAGCATACCTTTCTATCTCTCAAAACTCACATGCCTTTGAGATTCTGATGCCTGGTTTCTTCCTTCTTACCTTTTTCCACCTGTTATGATTCATAATTCTATGTGGATTCTCCCCTACTCTCAAATTATATTGGTCTTCATGAACGACAGACAGTATCTGCTTTCTATTCTTTATTGTCTAATACGCTAAAGAGTTTCATCTTTTCTCCTTTATTTTTTTCCTCTTGAATGTCACTTAAAACTACTCTCAAATATTCCATTTACATGATGGTCAAATGACTAATCAATGGAAAGAGAAATCAGGATTTACCATTAGTCATACTGGCAGACACTTTTCTGCATGATTCACATGTTATCTAATGCAACATAGAAAGCAATTCAGTGAAGCAGATGTTGCCTCCAGAAAGTGTAATCAACAACACTGAGTTTAGATTCTTCTGGGACAGAAAATCAGCAAGCGTATAGAATTCAACAACACTATCAAACAAAAGGATCTAATCAACACTTATAGAACTCTCCAGCCAAGAACAGAAGAATACACGTTCTTTTCACGTGCTTATAGGACCAAGATAGACTATATCCTAGGTCACAAATCAAACTTCAGCAAATTTAAAATAATTGAAATCATGCAGTGTGTATGGTCTGACAACAATGGAGTGAAACTAGAAATGAAGAAAAGTGAAAGGAAAATCTCCAACCACTTGTAAACTAAACAACATACTTCTAAATAATCCATGGATCAAAGAGAAAGCCACAAAGGAAATTAAGAAAAAATACATTGAACTAAGTGAAAATGAAAACACAACATCTGAAAATTTATTGGACTCAGATAAAGCAATTCTGAGAGGGACTTTTGTAACACTAAACACATACGTTAGAAAAAAGGAAAAGTCCAAAATCAATAATCCAAGCTCTCACTTCAAGGACCTTGACAAAGAAGAGCAAAATAAAAGTGAAGCAAACAAAAGAAAATAAGTCATAAATAGCAGAACTCAATGAAATGGAAACAGAAAAACAATAGAGAAAATAAACAAAGCAAATAAACAAAAAGATAAAATAGACAAACATCTAGCAAGCCTGTATGAATGCTTGTCACAGCTTTATTCAGAATAATTAAAAACTAGGAAAACCAGATGTCCTTCAAGGAGTGAATGGTTAAACAAACTATGATACAACAATCAAACAGACAAAGAAAAAAGAGAGAAGATACAGTTGACCATAAAGAATGTCCAAGGGTTAAATTTGCGATTAAAATGTTTACGGTTGTTGCTCCATCCCACTAGCCTACGGTGAGGAATCTTTCAAGAGCAGCCAGTGCAGTTCACTTTTTGGTCTCTCTGTAGACAAGCTACTGTGAACATAGCACATCACTGAGAATCCTTTGCATTAGCCCTTCAGATTAATTCCATCGTGATCTAACTTTCTTTGAGGAACATCTGCTTCTTATGAGCAATTGTTTTATTTTTAGCACCCAGTAAGTCATGGAGTTGATCAAATTTCTTAGTGTTGGCCAGCAGAAAATGTAGGTCCAAATTTTTGGTCCTTCCTAAGCATCATACAAATTTTTGTAATAGCCTCATTCCAGATTCCATCCATTTGTATCACTTCTAATTCTTATCTTGCTGTCATTTTTATCAGCCACCTTATCTCTAGTTATAACAAAGCAATAAGCCAAAGAAAGTGAGAAAGAAAATAAAAATCAACTTTTCCTACCCCATTTTTCTCTATCAAATCTGATATCACCTATATCATACGAAAAATTAACCTACTTCTTCACATTCTGTGCCCCAGAAAATTAGCATTTCAGAGAATTAAGGTGGTGACTTACATTTAGACCACTATGAAATGACGGAAATCAGCATTTAGCCCGAATGTGTATCTCTCCACTCATGGTTTATTTCTTGCCATAATTTTGCTTAAATAGACCAAGCAGGCATTACCACATAGACTGGTCAACTTGGAAAGCATTTGGCCCAAAAAGTTGAGCATCAACAGGTGGAGTACATGTCACTGAGAAGCTAAGCCTCCCCTAACACCCGAACCGCGTCCAGCACTGTGGAAAACAGCTGCTCAGCCTTATTCAGGTACTGTATCAGACTGACTGGGGGCTCTAGTTGATCATTTGCAGGGGGAAGAAGAGAATTGTTACAGAAGGGAACTGTTTGTGAGAATAGTGACAAGAAATCGATTTCATTCTCAGTTAAAAAAAATAAAAAAGTACAGTTCATGTTGGTCTGAACATGCCTCTCCTTTCTGTCTTTTTTCTGCTTTTCTCTAGTTGTGTCCCTGTTGTTCTATAGAATCTCATTTGCTGTACTTTTTCTGGGAGAAAGCAATTCCCGTCTCACATTCAGCGAGCTGGGTAAATGATAGAGCATGCCTGTCAAAGATGAATGATTGTTAGCTAAAGCAGAAACAATTTGTGGCATCTCTTCTATATCCTAGGTATATGTTCACTTGATAGAAACACTAGGTTTCAGAATTGAACAAGTTTATTCTTATTCTTTCTCCCAAGAAATTGCTAGGATGAATCACACTTAGAAATAAACCTAAAATATTTTGTACTGCGATATCTTTCAAGATACACCATGGAGAGCAATGTAATAATCTTGAATATAAGAGGTAGTAGTGCTGAAATAAAAAAATCTGTGGAACACTAAACAGAAACAGAAGATCACCATGAGTGTGGCTCCTGTCACGTGACTTAATG